ACGTGTACGGGTGGAAGGATGTCGGATGAGTAGAGTAAGAGAAGCCGGCAGGGGTTGGACTTCACGAGGTGGTGAGGAGGTGCCAAACAGGAGGCTGAGACAGACGCAAACAAACTCAAATCTAATGTGTGCTGCTACTCATTAAATAGYCCCTCCTTAAGCTCTATTGATCAGATTTCCTGAGTTATATACATTAAAAAATAAAAATCAGGCACTCAAGCTCAGGTTCTTCCATCTTAGTTGGCGCTTCTTACCTCAAGCTGTGACTCGGGTTGTAAACCACCAGCTGTCACGATACAATTGTTTTGATTTTTTTTTTGATGAGGATTCAATATCACAAATTCTGTCATGATACGATTTCAATTCATTTAAACTTACAAGCCTGAGATCAATATGATTCAATATCATGCGCTCATCTAGCAATCATTTCCACATCGGGCAAATGATGATGATATGGATCGATGCATTGTTACAACCCTGGCTGTGACACTACATTTATTATCGCTGGGTTTTAAAGACATGTTTACTTGGTCAGGCCAGTGAAAACCAAGCCTGTGAGTAGCTAATAAAACTTGTTTTTACAGGAATGTGACACATGGCTGCTAAACTGTGATGTCATGCTTACGACACAATGCAGTTTAGACCGGACCTACATTCAACTSAGGGGCGTAACAACACATCAATATATCAATTAAATGATGATTCAAATACATCAAGATAAATCAAGAACAATGATAACATATGAAGTGTAACCACATCGATTGTATTCGATGCACAAGTCTGCAATCGAAATAACAATAAATTTGGTGATAGAGAAACATTGTCGCAATAAATTTATCATTATTGCGATATTGTTTGGAGACCTTTTAAAACTAATATAATACCACACATATCCCCGCCCAGATTACAAAGCTTATGGAAGATTATGAAATTTACCTAGTAAAGACCATGCACCTGACAAAAACCTGTGGTGAGAGTTCACTCCTAGGCTAAAAAGAGTAGAAAAGAGGGAGACACAAAAAAATAAATAAAAAATAAACTGGCGGAAGAAAATGATCAACCTCATTTTAATTTATCTTGCAAATAATTGATATTTTTGCGCATCTTAAAAAGGCACAGTGTGTAGGATTTGTTGTTTTCAGCGACATCTAGTGGTTGAGTGGTTGAATCATCCTCCCTGGTCC